GACCTGGAAAGGAAGCCTGGGAAGGCCACTGGAGGGAGAGAAAACCCTGGGCAGTTAAAAGGCAAAGGTTGCAGAAAATGGTGATCGCTGCGGGCCCAAACTGTGACCTGCTGAGTTGCAAGATGCGGAGGACCTTGTTTAGTCTCCAGAAGAGAAGAATGAGGGGGGATTTGATAGCAGCCTTCAACTACCTGAAGGGGGGTTCCAAAGAGGATGGAGCTCGGCTGTTCTCAGTGGTGGCAGATGACAGAACAAGGAGCAATGGTCTCAAGTTGCAGTGGGGGAGGTCCAGGTTGGATATTAGGAAACACTATTTCACTAGAAGGGTGGTGAAGCACTGGAACGCGTTACCTAGGGAGGTGATGGAGTCTCCTTCCTTGGAGGTTTTTAAGGCCCGGCTTGACAAAGCCCTGGCTGGGATGATTTAGTTGGGAATTGGTCCTGCTTTGAGCAGGGGGTTGGACTAGATGACCTCTTGAGGTCCCTTCCAACCCTGATATTCTATGATTCTATGATTCACTGATGTCTCCAGGCAAGAGATGGAGCCCTGCCTGGCAAGGAAACAGGGTGGAGAAACACCCAAGCTAGAGGGTCTGCGGTGAGGTGTGGGGAGAGACACTGGAGCCAGACCTGGAAGCTAGGATGGGGGAGAGCAGCTAGCGCTGCACCTGGGTGTTGGGGCGTGGTAGAGATACTGGAGCTGGGCTTGGTGCTGGACTGTTGGGACGAATGTACTGTTTGGGCTGCACTGGGGGGATTCTGGTAAGAAGGAAACCCCGCAAAAAGGGCTATTGAAATACTTTGAAGGCTGAACTGAGTTTATCTGAGGAATTAAGATGGAAACTGAGGTGGTGGCCACTTGAGCCGCTTCCCTCAGGACACATGTTTACAGCCAGATTTACACTAGCCCACGTAACCTTTATTCTGCTCCTTTGTGCATCCAATCTGTGCACCGAATGAGGCGGGGTCCTGTGCGTAAGATAAGATGTGATCATGTAATTAAAGACCATATCATAATGCATGCACAGGGGTGACAAATTAAAATTGAATAGAAAACTGCAGATCTGGCATTTCCCAACTTCTGAGTGTTTGACTTTGCAACCTAAATAACATTCTTTGAACAGTTTACACTGTGTGTGTGTAATTTCCTAGGTGGTTTTTTTAAGAATGTAAAAACTAAACTAAAAGTCTATTAAATGCAATTGTTAACACACACAGGGCATTATCATTGGGATTTGAACCTTCAGCACTGCAGCACACTGCTACTATGTAAGCTACAGGACACGCTGGCAGCAGGAGAAGGCTGTTTTCCCAAAGGGGTGTTTGGATTGTTGGGTCTGGAGATGGTTGGGGTGAAGCCAACTTCAGCCCAGACAGGCTCTCTCTCTTGTTCTGCTCTTGTGTGCTACATCAAGGAGCTCTCCACTATCAGAAATCTTCTCCCTGCATCTGTACTTGTAAAATGTGATCAAGTCACCTCTCAATCTTCTCTTCAACCAGTTTAATAGACTGAGCTCCTTTAGTCTCGCATTGGAAGACATGTTTTCCAGACCTCAGATCAGTCTTGTGGCTCAACTTGGAACCTTCTCCAATTTTTCAACATCCCTTTTAAAGGGTAGACTCTTAAATGGTCTCAGTGATGCCTTATGCAGAGGTAATAGTGCCTCTCTACTCCTGTTCGTACTTCTATTTATATTTCCAAGGCCTGTGTTAACCATTTTTGGCCCAGCATTATCGCACTGGTAGCTCATTCACTTGGTTTCCTCCATGACCCCTAGTTACTCTTCAGTAAGTCCAGGACACAGTGCCACATCCTGTAATTGTATCCTACAGTCTTTCTTTGTTCCTAGATGTACAACCTTGCATTTGGCTGTGTTAAATGCATGTATGTGATTGCATCCAGATTACCAAGGCTGAAAGTAGAAATCAGCTAAGTTAACACTAGAAATAAGATATAAATTTGTATTAGTGAAGGAAATTAACCACTGGAACAGCTCACCTAGGGATGTAGTAAATTCGACATCACATGGAGTCTTTAAAACAAGATTGGATGTCTCTTTCTAGCTCAGTCACGGGTTACTGGGGTTGATACAGAAAACACTGGGTGACATTCTATGGCCAGAGCATCTTGGGCCAAAGGTTTTTTTGCCAGTGAGTTGTCACACATCCAGCGTGCGTCTCTATCAAACACATGAATAACACAGGTTCTTTCAGTCTTTGATCATTACCTGCACTTTGGTCTCCGGTGTCCCGCTGACTCCACCACTCAACTGGGGTGATAGGAATGTGGAAGCAGAACTGTTTGTCAGCCTAGAAGTGGGAGGAAGGGTCTCCTGTCCTCGGCAGTGCCTTGCATTAGTCAACAAAGAGAAAGAAGAAGAGCTGACAGGCTCCAAAAGGACCCTAATCTAGTCCTCATTAGCCAGAAGACCTGTGGCCACAACTCAAGGCATTTGCAGGTAGTTTGTGCAGCAGAGAAAGCATGAGGAATTCTTCAGGGTACAGAGCTCTGAAGGATCTCTCCTCCACAAAGGCAATGTGCCAGTGAAATGGGTTATTGAGCAGCGATAGCATTGCTGTGAAACAGACATGTTTACAGAGGACACTGCACATGGAGCTTAGAATTCAATTCTATTCAGCAGGAAGAGGAGGACAGACTAACAAGAAAAGTCAACCCAGGAATGGAAAATTTAACACACTAAAAAGAGACAAACCAATCCAGCACCATAATGCCTTGGGCTCACAGATAGCAGGGGAATTACTGTTGAGAGTCCCAGCGCAGAATTTTGATGTGGGTTTTTGTTTTTATTTGTAACATCTACATCATGTACCTGAGGCCAGTCCCCATTGGGCAGCTGCTTGTCAATCAAAACCTTGATCCCCTTTTCCAGCACCCGAACACCTGGGTACCTGCAAGGCACAGGATGGAGAGGTCAGCAGTTCTCATGCATACAGAGCTGTGGAGAACTGCAGGGGTGAATCCCCTGTTCCTCCATTACCCTCCTCTGGAAAATGAGCCTGTGCCCAGCCCTCCTGCACCAAGGTGGCATTTTGGTGGAGAACTTCAAAGAAAAGAAATTGGACCTGATCTTGGAGCGCCCTTTCCTCTCTGAAAGGAGAGCTGGCCAGTTGGTGCTGAAAATAGTCTAGTATCCCGGGCGTTTTCCCTGTCTGTGTCACTGACAGAGAACAATGAATCATTTTCAAAACAATGACAGTTGCTTAACAATTTCACAATCCCTGCTCCTGTAAAGTGCTTCATCCATGAGCCAAATGTCCAGCTTGCCCTTATGTGTGGTGCAGTGCGACCCCACTGGCGAGACAGAGGGACACAGAAAAATGAGGGACTTGGTAACAATTTTAATCTCAAGGAGGGTGGCGGTCATTCCCCTGGACATTTATCTGAGCCCGTCCCGCCCAGCTTTGAGAAACACCTAAGAACACTTCTTTGGCAAAGGTGATGAGCCTGACTAATATCAGCTCCTTCATTTCCCTTCTTCCCATGCATTTTGCACTCTGGGTTTGGCTTGAAGGACGAAGGCTGAAAATTGTATTAGTTCCTTACTTCAGTCTATATTGTATTGTATTTGTTGTAGATCATTGTACAGCACCTTGCGTGGTTGGGGGGGCTTCATAAATAAAACTGTTAATCATATTATGAAGATGCAAACGTGCTAGAGACAATTTGTTATTCTGCACCAGTTATTACTTTGTTCTACTGACCACTCAGTGACGACACCAAGGGTTAAGTCTCCGCTGAGGTACATCGGGTTAGTCTGGTAACTGCCTGTCTGATAGTACAGTCAGAGCATCAGGCACATAGCCAAAGAATTGGGCTGAGGTCCTGGCCCACAGAAGTCAATGGCAAAACACCCATTGACTATAATGGTCAGAATTTCACCCTGTTTATTTGATTTTTTCAGTCATGCCCCGGTGCTGTGTCCTGTGAATGCGGGTGAAGAGGATGATGTTCTGCAGTGAGAAGTGGCAGCGGTGCTCCTACCTGACAGCCATGAGCCCTGGCAGTGCCCAGCAGGTGTTGTGGATCTGGGAGGTGGAGCTCTGCACGTATCTGTGCTGCTCGCAGGACTCGAAGTCCTCTCCCCAGCTACCATCCTCCATCTGCCTGGAGATCAGGAACAGGCAGACCTGGGCCACCTCCCTGCATGTGGCTCTGAAAGGACGAGGCAGAGAAATGGAAAGATATTGGACATGACAGAACAACACTGACTTGTATTAAAGAGCTTTACTTGACATCCTCTAGAGCAGTGAAAAGATCAGTAAGAAAGAACACAAGTAAAGTCCACACAAGAGAGCCCAGTGTGTTTGCCCTCTGCAGTGAGCTGCAGTCACCATGACAGCAAAATGTCACATGGAAAAGAAAGACATGGTAGCTACAGGTTACAGGCACCCTATAAGCATTCTCCTTGCTCCGAGACAAGTGCCCTCATTTGGACAAGCTAACCAGCTCCTGGGAAATTCTTAAAGCTCAGGTCTATTATTGCACAATCCTCCGTCAATATAACAGCCCTACTACAAGAATTTCTTGATTTACAGCCTGGAATCACACCCTACTCTTTGAGAAATCCAACTTCTACATCCTTGCTAAAGAACTTGCTAGCATTGCTCAATACAGCACAGAGAGGATCACGTCTTCTTTATAAGAACCTGCTTGTTAGTCTCCCTAATCTTTTCTGCCATTGTCTCAAACTCAGCCTCCTTCCCTACCGCCCTGACTGAACAGCAATTCTCATCGCCATGACCACTGCAGTCAATCTGTACCGAACGCCAGGAAAGCCCCTGGGCTCAATGGCTTTGGTAGAGGATACGTTAAAGGGTGTTCTGAAGATGTGCTGAATCCCATTCCTCGACTGCATCAGGCAGCACTGGGCAACACAAACTCCCAAGACCCTTAACACCGAGTTGGAGCCTGGGCTTTGGTCCAGGAATGCTCAGTGCCCTCAGGAGGGGGTATGTGAGCGAAGGTGGCTTTGAGCCTGGTCCTGGGCCAGGCCCTTCAGTCTGCTCTGACTGGCTCCAGTTGCCAATACGATTGATTCCATTTAATAGCCGTCTGGATAGTCACAACTTCCGGTTAATAGCAACATTTTGCCAGGAACCAATCCTGTCCCATTGACTTGAATGTTCATGGCAGTTGGCTAGTGCTGCCTATTAGCCACATTAGCGGATAAATGGCATGCTGCTCGGCAGCTACATGTTTGGATGAAAGGCTCCACCGGCAGGCAGGTTTGTGAGGCAGCAGCCAGGAAAGGCCGTGCTGAGACCTACCATCCCTGGCTGCTGCCTCGCAAACCTGCCTTCTGCTTATTAGCAACTGTTGGATCACAGCAACTTCTTGCTGCCAGCCGAGGGGTTGCTAACAAGCGGAACGCACTGTAGATTTGGGGTGGTCATGGCAGGCAGAGCTCCCTCGGCACACTGACCCTGAGGCAAA